GACACGACAGTTATGTCGAAACTAGATAAAGATGGCAAGGGTATAACAATACTCAAGTCAGTTGACTGTTAGATTCTCTTTTTTAAATTTTTCCCATACTTAGTGGTTGGGATCTTTTGCGCTTACTATAGCATCACTTTCACACTATTTTGTTTTCAGAGGCTCGGGGGATTGATACTGACGGTGCTTTACTAAAAGGCTAGCTCGTGGTAATATATTGGGGAACAACTCGAATCCTCCGGGTAAATCCATCGGGCCCACGTTAAATCTAGAACAACAAAGGCGCGCAGCCAGTCCTAAGCTGAGCGCGAATCCTCAAGAAGGCTCATTGATTCATAAAGTGGGCATAATCGAACTTTTAGAGCAAGATGAGAGACCAACTTTCATAATAGATGTTTCTAATCAGGAAAATTACATACCCGGCGGTCGCTTACGACTAGAATATGCGAATGCGTCATTACGGGCTATGAATCCATTATTGGAAATGGTAGCGGGCTTTGCAGATCTATCTTCTCCTACAATTGTTACACACGCATTTCCGGAGTTTAAAGCATGGGTGCTAAGTTTTGTGAGCAAAGAAAGCGAATCTTTAGATATATGCTTGCCATCATTTTTGTATGGAGGGTTCACATGGAGTTGTTCGACTTTACGAAAACGTCTTCGGGTAATGAATGGCGTTAGAACCCAAATTCCTACAACTAACTCAACTTCATCGAACGCAAATAATAGCAGTCCTGCTATACCGAATCCGGGTTTCGTGATAGGTCAAGATTTGAGAAGCTCAACGGATCTATATCCTGAGCCGTCTGATTACTTTGGAGATGTAGCTACAGTCGTCCCAGGTTCGAGCCCGATAGAATCACTTGCTGTTGGAAATCAAGTAGCACACATCGATGGGTCTTCATTCGATTGGACAAGACTTCCGCTAACCGCAGCGCTACCTCGACATATTCAATTCACTCGTAATGTTAATTGGTCAGCCTCTCCTCTTGGACCAATGAAAAACTGGAGTTTTGATCTGAGAGCTATGTGCAATCTCATCATGGGAAGTCCTCACCCAGCGGCCATGTACTGGGGAGCTGAATATACAGCCATCTACAACGAAGCGTATATATTATTAGCCGGGCAAAAACACCCTAGCTTGATGGGACAAAGTTACAAAACAGCTTGGGCGGAAATATGGGGTGACATCGAAGCGGTTTTTGCAAAAGCGAAATCATCTGGCCAAGCCACTATGAAAGATGAAGATAGACTTTTCATCAAACGAAATGGTTACTTGGAAGAGTGCTATTTTGCATGGAGTATTATTCCGCTAGTCGGAGAGGATGGCTCTGTGGTCGGGCTGTACAATCCGGCATGGGAAAAGACGAGAAGAGTGATATCGGAACGTCGAATGCTTACTTTGCGAGAAGTAGGAGAGAAGACAGCTACTGCGAGAAACATTAAAGGATTTTGGGCACAAGTCATCAAAGCATTGGAGTATAATCCCTTTGACATACCGTTCGCTTTTCTCTACTCGGTTAATGAGGATGTCGACAGCGACATGAGCTCACAGAGATCATTGAACTCCGGAAGCATGTCACAAGCTCCATGTTGTGTGCTGGAGGGAACAATTGGTGTACCCTCGGGCCATCAATCAGCCGCTACACCATTGGATCTTCACCTCAGTCAAGATGGACTCGCCCCATATTTGAGAGAATGCATGAGGCTTGATAGACCTGTACTTCTTACCACCGAGGAAGGGACCCTACCAACGGAACTAATCAAAGATCTCGATTGTGTAGGATTCGGCGATCCTTGCCGAGCTGCTGTTGCCATACCACTCCATGCCACTAGCAGAGAGTCCATATTGGGTTTCTTAGTCATAGGAGTGAATCCAAGAAGACCTTATGATGACGATTATAGTTTGTTTGTTGAGCTCATGACTCGTCAAATGGCAACTTCAATGGCCTCGGTTGTTCTCTATGAGGAAGAAATCCGCAAAGGTCAGAAAGCAGCGCGCATTGCTGCTCGAGATCGTCAAGAATTATCGGAGCTTGTCAACCTACGCACCCAAGAAGCTGTGGAAAGTGAAAGTAGATTTACCCGCATGGCTGAAATGGCCCCCGTTGGAATGTTCATTGCAAATTCTCAGGGAGAAATCACATTTTCTAATGATGCTTGGTGGGAAATATCGCGGCATCCACGATCTGATAATAGCGCAAAGTCATGGATGGACAGCATAAAAGAAGAAGATCGCGAAGGAGTCCAAGCGACCTGGAACAAGTTGGTTTCACAGAAAGTAAACGTGACGAAAGAGTTCCGTTTTAAAACGCCATGGCAAAGTAAGCATGCTTTGACCGATACATGGGCTCTCATGAATTGCACTTCACTTAGGGATAAAGACAACAACCTGATGGGCATCTTCGGCTGTATCACGGATATATCACATCAAAAATGGGCAGAGGAGTTTCAGAAGCAGAAGACGAAAGAGGCGATAGAGCTCAAGCGACAACAGGAGAATTTCATCGATATGACTAGCCATGAAATGCGCAATCCGTTGAGTGCGATCCTACAATGTTCGGATGAAATTACCAGTGCTTTAACTGCTCCTGCGCTTAAAGGTCTGAAATCAAGCATGCGAAATACGGAAGCGCCTCAGGAGATATCAGAACTCATCGAAAGCAGCATTGATGCAGCTCAAACTATCGCGCTCTGTGCCCAGCATCAAAAACGCATCGTTGATGATATTCTGACCTTGTCTAAATTGGACTCGGCGCTTCTAGTCGTAGCACCTGTCTCATCGCAACCAATATCTGTGGCCAGGCGTGCCATCAAGATGTTTGAAGGGGATATGGAAAAACATGACATCTCAATAGAATTTCAGATCCAGGACTCATATACTGACCTCAACATAGATTGGGTAAAACTTGACCCATCACGGCTATTACAAGTCCTAATAAACCTCCTAACCAATGCTATTAAATTCACCACAAACCAGCCTCAACGATCAATTATTGTGAGTATTGGTGCAACGAAGGAACATCCGGCAAACAGCGATACCACCGTTCAGTATTTTCCTCCCCGCTCAGGTGTTACGGGTCTGGCAATGGATGAAGCAGAATGGGGTTCAGGCGAAGATTTATATCTGAAATTTGCTGTTCGAGATACAGGCAGAGGGCTTGATGAAAAAGAAGTGTCGATTCTATTTCAACGATTTTCACAAGCGTCTCCACGTACTCATGTTCAATATGGCGGGTCAGGCCTAGGATTATTCATCTCTAGAGAGTTAACCGAACTTCAAGGTGGGCAAATTGGAGTCTCCTCAGAAAAAGGAGTCGGCAGTTGTTTTGCGTTTTACGTCAAGGCTCGCCGGGCTGAGGGCAGTCCCGAAGCATCACCTGTATCTTCTCCAAGTCACAATGCCATAAATCGAAAGCCTTCTACACGTACCACAGATCCTACACCGGTAGAAAGTATCAACAGCTCGTTGGAAAAGCCAGTGCATACCCAGTACGTTTAAACTTATTCCGTCTCCATATGGATGAAATAACCTCTGCTCTACGTCGTGATGATTTCCTGCTTACATTAACAAATAGATCCAAAGGAGAAACTTCAACAAGTATAGCTAGGATATCACCAAGTCCAAAGGTTGATTACAAAGATATTACAATTCTTATCGTTGAAGATAATCTTGTTAATCAGCGCGTTTTGCAAAAACAATTACATCGAGCCGGGTTTGTGACGGAAGTCAGCAATCATGGGTTAGAGGCTTTGCATAAATTGGAGGGGTCGTCTTTTTGGAAGCATGAAAGTCCCACTGCGGAAAGAATTAGTATCTCATGTGTTTTAATGGATCTTGAAATGCCAATAAGTATGTCGATAGTTCTCCCTGTTGTCCTGGACTTTTGAATGGGAATTCTAACAATTCAACTTTTAGTGGATGGTCTTACTTGCACCAAGAAGATTCGAGCATTAGAAGCTGATGGGACGATCATTCGCCATGTACCAATAATTGCAGTTACGGCAAATGCAAGATTGGAACAGATTGAAACGGCTTTAGCTACAGGAATGGTATGCGCCCTTTAATCCTTTTCCATAAAGATATATTTTCTGGGAACCGAGGCTAATAATTGGAATTAGGATGATGTTGTTTCTAAACCATTTCGCATGCCAGATCTAATACCAAAGGTCGAGGCATTGGTACTTAAGAGTCGAGTGGAGTCACAGGCAAAGTCAAAGGCAGAGTCGAAGTAATTGAAAGTCGATTGGGAAGGAATTTTACATTTTGAGAACTATTTTGGTAGTGACAGCAAGCGATTTAGACGGATGGAATAAGTGATGGGGGTTTATACACGCATGATAAAGGCGTTAGGAATTGTTTGTGGATGGTGCGCAAGTGGGATACCCAAATAGTATATTTGCATTCTGTGTGTGCATTTTGGTTTTATGGAGTTTGATATGGGGGTTTGATTTATTTGGGGGAGTTTGGATGGAAGGATGAGTGTCATGAGGGGAATGGGATTGGTGGAAAAGAAGTGCATGGTGCGGGATGGAAGTAGGTGTTTAATTTCTCAATGGATGGATGCATGTATGGATGAATGCGTGGGCGGGTAGGTGGGTGGAGGGTGATGGTGATGGTGATGGTGATGGTGATGGTGATGGTGATGGTGATGGTGATGGTGATGGTGATGGTGATGGTGATGGTGATGGTGATGGTGATGGTGATGGTGATGGTGATGGTGATGGTGATGGTGATGTATATATTGATATGCTATATGCGGAGCATGTCGGGAATAATATAACATTGCATATCTTTACAGAATAATGATTGAACTCTTGAGGTGATTGTAGTGGGTGAGTAGTACGTAGGTAGATGGGTGGGGGATTGATGGAATGGTAGGAAATATCTACCTAGGTAATTATCGGATGAATAGCTGATTGGGAGATAAAAGAAAATGAAACTGTGGTTTTGAATTGCGAATACTCCTATCGGATTTGTTTGGCATTTCACATGCCATATCATCATCCATTTGTTGTCATATATACTTTCTTTGAGTTCATTAAGAAAATGGATATCGTACAATTTTTCTCCAAATCTAAAAATACATCATTTCCATTCATCCGATCCATGTATCCCATATGTTCATGTTTATGTGCATGTCCACGTTCAGAGACATTTCTTCCCACCAAAAGCCATTACCATCCCCCTCTTAACCATTGCCACAACCGAAATAAGTTTACCATCCAAAACTACCTAATTCTCGCTTCCCTTCAAACTCCTCTTCAAGCTCCCGAATCTTCTCTTGAGACCCTCGCCCATCTTGTGCGATTTTCCCGCACTGTTACTTCGGCTGCTTCCTACGCCCGCGTCATCATTTGAGAAGTCTACCGTTTCCATTGCTCTTCCGCTCGTAGTCGTCATATTTTTGCTATCGCCGCTTGTGAGGTTACCTCCGCTTGCGCTTCTTTGACGGTTTGTGGGAGGGGGACGCAGACTCGATCCTGATGCGGATGAGGAGGGTTGGGATTGCATTTCGTAGGCGGAGTTGCCGTCGGACATGTTGCGACGGTGGGATTTTTGGGCGAGTTTGTGGTCTTTGAGGGCTTTTTCGATGGTGAAGGAGGGTTCGCCTTTGCCTTTGTAGTCTTCGGGGAGGTAGTTCTAAGGGTGAGGGTGTTAGTTTGGGTTGATCAGTAGATGAGTGGAGTGTCATTTGAAACCTCAAATGAAAATGAGATGGAGATGGAATTAAAATTGGCGAACGAACTCCCTCTCATCTGAACTTCGCAATTCGAGAGTCCAATTATGAGATACACATGTTATGACAATAGAAATAAGGATGGAAAGAGCAGGAGAAAAGTAAACGTACCACATGCTCCCATCTCTTGTATGCACCACCAGCAGCATCGGGTTCCCTCATCAAATCTGCACCTTCTTCATAATTCATAATCCTACCATCTGGACCCGGCATTCCTGGGGGAATTGCAGCCACTCCTGATAATGGAATATGTCTTTCCAAACTGTCTTGAATATTTTCTCTCGGGGTAGCTCTGAGAGCTTCCGCGTTCGTTTCTGCAACCGCTGCGACAGGAGAGTTCTTGTAACTTGTATTACGTGCCATTAATGTAGCATCATAAGGTCCTCCATGATGATACGCACCACCGACTGAAGTACGATCGAGAGAATCGATGGTATCGGCACCTGGAATGTGCTTCTTACGGAGATGTGGCGATCGATATGCGGCTTTGGTCTCTTGACGTAGTTGATCGAGAGGTCTGTGGGACATGTCGCCAGGATAACGTTCACCTAGTGAGCTACCTCGTCGACGTCCTTTGCCATTGTCGCTCACAGGTTCTTCGAGACTGTTACGGAGACTTCCACTGTTGGATTTGGAGTAGCCGCCAAAAGCCGATTGACGATGAGATGAATAGGGATTGTTGGAGCTGAAGGACGATTTGGTGGGACTAGCTGAGGAGGGAGGTGTTGGGTAGTGAGCCTGATTGGAGAAAAGGTTATTAGTGATCATTGTAATTGTAATGATGAGATGGGTTTTGATTGATATTGTGAGTTTTATGGATGAGGAGCTTGATATATATGAATTGATGGATTGACGAATTGATTCGTTGATCAGGATATAGATGGAGAGTCTGAACATACCCATTTATCACTTGAGCTCTCCATTTTGAAGATAATTAAGTACCAAATATGGTGTGATGATTGATTCTGGTGATATCCGAGTGAGCCGTGAATAGAATGTTTATTAATCGCCAGGTGATTTTACTTGTTAGTAGTGTAGTAGTGAAGACACAACAGGAGATTTCTTCTCGGGTGATATTATTAGATAGTGTAAGAGAAGAGAAGAGAAGAGAAGAGAGGAAAAGAAGAAGAAGGAGAAGGCTTGTTCCTATTTGAGGGAAAGTATCAAGTACTATTTAGTCGAGTACTAGGTGATCGGGTAGCAAGTAGGTACATAGGTCATTAGCTCTCTCATACCAAGGTATACAAGGGGTCAAGGTATAATTAGAAATCGAAAGGAAGGCCGGATGCGTTAAGCAACGAAGAGCAAGATGACGAAGAAGAAAAAGTCAAAAAAGATATGGTAGCGGTACTCATGATCCATCGAGCTCATTGTTCGTACTCGTTGCTAGTTGGCTAATAAGAGAGGTACGCAATATTTCAGAGTATCCTTGGTGCCAATGATGTAATTTGATAACGCTAGATAAGGCCGAGTTATGGTCATCCTAGTATTTGATAGATGCATCTCTCTCAACCCAAACAAACTTTACTTCCCATCACTTCCCATCATTTCCAATCACTCCAATCTCTCCAATCTCTCCAATCTCTCCAATCTCTCCAATCACACTTCACCACTGCAGCAAGTCTACCCAAAAATTGATTAGTCAGGTACTCCTAGATCCACTTCCAACAGCAGATCATTTATTTTATCATTTTATCAATTTATCATCTCATTTATATTTTGAACGATTCACAAAACACCAACTTTCAACTCCGCAAAGCCTCAATAGACTGACTCCGTACGCTGACGTCTAATTAATGGGTCAAGGTCTGTTCTAGACTTTTAACTTGTCCAGCATCTTGTCCAGCATCTTGTCCAGCATCTTGTCCAGCATCTTGTCCAGCATCTTGTCCAGCATCTTGTCCAGCATTGAGCCCTCTGGACCGTCGCACTGCCACGAATCCCAACTCCCTTGGTCGAACTTTAAAATCTTTTACCTTTTGCGGGACACTAGGGGCTGGGGAATGAATTGATGGATGAAGATTCATTTGTTTCATTTGTTTCATTTGTCTGCAACCAAATTCACATTTCCAATTGGGCCCCCTGGCTCTTGAGTCTTGAGTGAGTACGGAGTACGACTATCTAGACGCTCATGGATTACGGGAAGCCCGGCCGGGTACAACCCTCTATCGTATAGGTACGAAGGAGGTTATTAATCCAACTTGATCTTGATTCCGAATGAACCCCAGCACTTGTCAATTGGGTTCAAGTCTCACTTTGCTTGCTTTTTAGTGCAACCGTCGGGTGCTTCAATTCGGAATCAATCATACATAGTACATACACACTTCAGCCAAGGAAGGCTGACAAAGTTTGAATTCATCGTCATATCATGGCCCTGGTCGATTATGTGTCGTCCGACGAAGATGATGTGGTAGATGAAGACCTTCCTCATGACAATAAACTCAATCAACACAAAAGTGAAGATGATGAAAAGAATGTCGCCACCAAAACTTTCAATTCAAATAATTTAAAGCGAAAGCGAGACATTCCTTCATCCTCGTCAAATTTACCTCCACTGCCCTCCAAATTTCATGATCTTTATGCCTCAACCGTGAGGAACAGTACAAGAGATGATCCAAGCTTACATGGAGGAAGAAAAAGAGTGACTCCTCATATCGAGGGTAATTGGCCAACACATATTTATATTGAGTGTGAGTACCGATAGATGCCTTGGTTTAACCTTCTTGTCAAGCTCGTTTCGCTAATTCAATCGAGGGTATCCTTCGACTATAGAATTTGATCTGATATCATCCTTGATCTCAAAAGTTGAGTCGTTCAAAACCCACGACATTCAAACATTTTTATCGAATGATCTTGGGGTTCCTCTTCCCTTACATGTCAGTCTTTCACGATCAATTGGCTTTTCCAGAGAGGTTAAAGATACCTTCTTGACTGCATTCGAACAAGTCATAAAGTCTTCCGGAGTGCGTCCGTAAGTCCATTGTCCGTTTGAATTAGGGGTTACACGTGACTAACCAATTTTAAGTTTTGAGATGGCTTTCTCTGGATTAGCGTGGGTGCCAAATTATGAAAAGACTCGATGGTTTTTGGTTCTCCGCGTCAATACACCGGAAAGCAATGCCTTGAACAAATTACTTCACGTGAGTAATAAAGTTGTGGAAGAATTTGGACAACCGCCCCTATACGCAAATTCTAGAACAATTGTAAATGGTCAACAAGTAGCAAAAGGTGCTCACCATTCTCAACATGGCAAATCTTTCAGGGGCAAGACACAGCAAAAAAAAGACGTTTTCGATGATATGGCTGATTTATCAGACGCATTTCATATTAGCATTGCGTGGACACTATTGCCTCCGGACCAAGAACTTATTGAAGCTACTGAGCGATTGACAGCCAAGGAGTTGATGAAAGTAAAGCAGATTCAAGTAAAGACAGAGGAAGTCAAAGCAAAGATTGGTAATGTTGTTACCAACGTGCCCCTTCCTGTGGGTATTACGGAAGGCAAAAGCCTGTTCGGGTTGTGAGAAAATGCTTTACTTCAGAGGGTATGCAATTTGTTTGACAATTCAGGAAAAACGATGTGTTGAAAAATAATTTAGTCTATCGAGCTGGTTCTAGTCGATGTCTCACTCGTACTATCAGTCACAGACATGTATTGTCTGCGGTTAAGTAAGTACGGATCTTGATTACATGAGTTTCCAATATTTCCGAGTGTATTCATAAACACTCTTCCCAAGTCGACAAAATTCTTCATATTTTCTGTCAATAGCTTGACTAAACTGAGTTGAGTAACACCGAATCTGCTACCCATGATTTCTTGGGCAGCCTATCTTATGTTGTTTGTATTTGTGACCACCAGGCGAAGCTCGAATGTGTCAGAAGATGGAGCTATCAAATACGTCAGCATAACTTTACAAAATTTCGTCAAATTGAAGGCAAAATCATACCTTCGTTGAAAGAATTCCGCTCAGTCTGCGCCCTATGCGATCTCCATGCCACCCATGCCAATACCACACTAAAAACTCCCACTACCGTGGCTATAGTACCAAAAACTATCTGAATCACACCATCATGGGACAAGGCGCCAATGAGGGTGTTGTTGTTTGTATTCATTGAAGTCAACGAATAGTGTTCCTCCCTGCTTAGAGCCTACTTGATGTCAGAGATGCCGATTGATAAATAGTTTCATGGAACCCCCACTGGACATACCATTACAGAACACAGCAGCAAGTTCTGTTTGTACGCGTTTTGAATAATTTAAATTGTTGTAGACGTCGAATTGTGTGGAATTGATCTCTTTTTTTTCTCGATACGCCTTATGAGGGTATTGCATCACCTTTGCTATATATGCATCCTCTCTCCGTCTGCGCTGTCATCCGGGGACGAGGCCGGTTTGAGGTAGAGAAGGGACAATTGCAAATTCGTCATATTATTTCAAGATGTCGAAACTAATCGTGGGGTTTCAATGAGGTTTGAATAACCTGTAGACTTTGGTCTTGTCGAACTGATTTTCTTTTTCAACAGATTTGAGCATGTGGTTGCAATGGAAAACTTAAAATCCTACAGCTACTCTAGGAACTGCAGCAATGTTATTGATGATATTCCGTATGCATTAAAGACCCCGGCGCTTATGATTACGAGAGGGGGTGTTTCAACACACCAGGAGAAGCGCAAGAAGCGCAAATGCACAAATATGCCTTTCCATTTGTATCCTGAGTCTTGCTACAACTGCAACCACCACTATATCTGATCAACACCACCACACGACCAATCAAGCCATAGCGAAAAAATTATCATGTAACGGTACCGTTTCATCTTGAACAAAATATTTGAACACACCTTATCATGTTCACGTTTTGCAAAGGAAAGTGGATGTTGAAGTTGAGTGCTGAATTTTCTAGCACACGATACATTGCTTGCGGTCTTTATCACTCACGCTGCATTTCTTCTACGTGGGTTATTTCCACGGAGGGGCATGGCACTGTGCGTTTAGAACTTTCTCGTAGGCCACACACGATACACTTAACATTATGCAAATTTTTGCTGTATTGATTTCCCAGTGTCTGTTAATCATACATCCGGTGTGCCAAATTGAGGAGGAACGGCCACAGAAGCCTATCGACTCTACTAGTTACCATCACCACAGTTATTTTTAGATCACCGTTGCTGACATCGTTTCGTTCACTGCATTTCCCATCTGAATGTTGGGCATCTACCACATCTCATCTGATACTTGAGCTAGCTTGTGGTTCATCACATTTCTCTAGTGATTCGTTTTGATCATCATACGAACATGCTGATAGACGCTGATATGATTATATATATCCTCGCTATCAACCACTCTTAATGAAGTTGGTCCAACGGAGGTGACAGCGAATTGCTATTTTTATGTACAATCAATGGTAGAATAACGCTATGCATGAATTAACTAGATTTTTTCTTGCCCCAGAATCTGTTTTCAAGTTCATGCTAATATTTCTGCAGTACCCTGGCTTAATCCTTGATGTATGTTACCAATTCTCTTCCAATGTATTTCCGTCGGGTCCTAGCTCAAGTTCATCAATGAAACAAATAGCTGAATGTTGATGAATGGTAGTAATACTGTTCCCCCTTCCCACACCGGAGAAATTTCTCCAGGAGGGCAAACTTTTGCAAAAGGCGTGCTCTTTCCCAGTGCCATCATACCATTCCTTACCATTTTTTCTACCGTCACCATTTTTAACACTTTAGGTATATCATGCAGTAATTTGGCCGCTACCTTATCTTCTTGGTCCCTAAGTTTCCTCCTCTTCTCCTGGTCTCTAGTCTTGCGGTTCTTTTTTGCAGTGGTCTCTGTCGTCTGCATTTCTTGTTTTCCTTGCGTCTGAGGGCGGTCCTTCAGCTTCCTTCGAATTCTCCGCATTCTTATTACGAAAAGGAGTAATTTCATCTTTTGCCATTCAGATTTCGGGTGTTGTTTACCTGCCAAGATCCGTCTAAATTCTTGAGATTGAGCAAACTCTTTTTCAATATTTTTCGAAATAAGTGGCAGTTCGTTATTCGCTTCAATATCTTCCCATACCTTTGCGTACCAATTTTCATACTTCTTATGCCTCTCCCTGAACTCGAGCTTGGTCACCATGAGCTCATTCCAGTAAGTGTCGAATCCGAATTCACTCAGAATCCCATCACGAAATAGGGCGCTATCCAAGTCCGGGAACTGTAACTCAATGATCGTATCAATCAAATCCTGAGCACGATTGTCACTCGTACACTTTGGGCATTTGCCACAAGCTTCGCCGATGATTTCCATGGTGTTATGATATTGCTCCTCCACGTCAGTCCCACTGATTTCAGATACCACTAAGCCGGAGTTTGTAAAGTTATATGTTGTGTAGGGGAAAGATGGTTGCTCTTCTTCGGTTGGTGAGAGATTGGATTCGTCTACTCTAGTGTCCAGTGTAGTTTCTACTGTAGTAGCTTCCATTTTCATGAGAAGAAAATGTTGCTTATCGTCAGCTGTTGAAGGGTTGGATTCATCCACTGTAGTAGTTTCCACTGTAATGGGAAGAGACTTTTCATCATCCAGCGAAAGATCGGATACATCTACTATAGTAGTTTCCACTATAATGGAAAGAAAAGGCTGCTTGTCGTCGGCTGGTGGAAGGTCGGATTCGTCCAGTGTAGTGTCCACTGTATTTTCTGCTGTAGTGGAAACTATAGTATCCACTGTAATTGGAACTGTATTGGCAACTGTATTGGCAACTGCACTGAGAACTTCGGTAGGAACTTCCGTGTTCACTGTGGTGTTCACTAGAGTATCCGCTGTGGTTGGAACCGTAGTGGGAAATATAGTGGGAACCGTCGTGAAAACTGGATGGGGAACTGTCGGGGGAATCGTGGTAGGAAAACTACAAGTGAAGTTTACTAGGGGCAACGGAGGTAATGCCTGTGAAGTGATAGACACGCTACTATCATTCGGGGCTTCAAGCTGAACATCTCTCCGTTCGATCAATCTCGATGGCTGAGCAAGGCTGAGATCTTCACGCGGGTTGGTTTCGCCTTCTGCTCGACTTGTCTCGTTCAAAGTATTGGTGTTGTTGTTTTCGGTAGGAGCTGCATCTTTGATCTCGGTTATATCTGGAATCGAAGTTATGGGAACTGCATTTCCTGTCTCGGTTATACTTTGAAGAGAAGGGTTTCCTACCCCTCCCACATCTAAAATCGATATCGAAGACATAGGACAAATCGATAACGAGTATCCCGTAGAGACGGTATCGTTTGAACATTCATCAAGAGGATCAGGATCTCGTCTTGTAGGTAAACAACCTAATTCTGCAAAGAGTCTTCGACATGCGGAGAAGAGGGAATATTTCTGTTGTGACTTTGACTTTTGAGTTGACTTGAGTTGATTAGTTTTTTGTTTGGTTAAGGAGGGGGAGGGGGGGGGAAGAAGGGGAGTTACAGGTACTTGGCCCATGTGAGGTGGGTATGGGAAAGGGTATATGAATGGTTATGTATATCTATGTATGTGTAGTGCTATTTCGGAGACTGCTATGGTATGGTTCCAAAAAAATTGATGGGATGTTTAGATAAGATGAGATGTAGTATTTCTGTTTATTTGTTGAGAAAGGCTTAGGGAATGAAATGGAATATAGAGCTGGAGGTAGGTGGGTAAGTAATCGCAATAACTATTTTCCTGCGAGGAGGGCTGTAATAGATAGATGAATAGACGGGTAGATGTACTTGCCTTGTGAGCTAGGGGGCTTGATCGTTCTTCCCTTGAATTTCTATTTTTTGTTGGAATTGGAGTTCGTTGGTTGAGATGAAAAGGACCTTGGAGTAGATTTTTCACTGAAAGCTATTTTTACGTGTCAGAGTGGATGGAATTAGTTGGGATTCGTCTTGTCATTTTTTATTTTCTCTCTTGCTATACCTGAGGACTCGGTAACTGATCGAGTAATTGAGTAGTTGAATAATTGAATGAATCATTGAATAAAACTTCTTCTATTCAGGTGTCTAGGTATTTATCTACAGCAAGAAAGCAAGCAAGCAAGTAGCTCCTTTGAAGATTTGTGGTTGTAGGTATAGATGTGTAGATGGTTGTCTATTATTTTTATTTTCTTCTTCTTCTTCTTCTTCTTCTTCTTCTTCCTCACGCCCATCCCTCCTAAAACCCCCTTCACACACCTACATAGATAAATACACATATACTGAGTCGACTAAGAACTTTACTCCCATTACTTCTACTACTACTACTACTACTACTACTACTACTACTACTACTACTACCTAGGCAGAATGAATGGAAGAATGAATGGAAAAATGGATGAATAAAGCTTACCTACACTCTACACTCTATACTTCCTAATAAACCTACACATACAATACTCATCCTCACCTCACCTCTCCTTACCCCATCAACACATCTAAAAACAAACTCCCGAGAAAAACACATGAAATCAGCAATCACATGGCCATAAAAACTCAAGTCTTATATGTAAATCAAAGAAAATGCTTTTACTACATAGGTATGCATGCAACGCTAACGATTTCCAGTCAACAAATCAACAAACGCTTTGCAGATGCTGTGTATGCCTCACGGATAGAATATCCTAGTATGTGAGCATACGAGTATACGAGTATGTATGAATAGTGAGAACCATATCATTCGTAAACTCCCTCCCCTTCCCCCGATGCTCAACCCCTGCATTCCCACTCGCTTGAGGAAATTAAGTCGATGGCGCATACTCACTCATGCTCATCTTCTGTACCTGTCGTCTCCGCCTCACTTCTCTCACTCCTCTCTATTTCCGAACTTTCTCTCTTCTTCCTTTGGAATCTACCCCACGTCGAGCTTTTTCTTTCTCTAGTCGCGCCCTTTGCTTTTCCATCACTTCCTTCGAATCCTCCAATCCTTGGACTACTAGTTGCACTTTCTCCCCCAGTTCCAATTACCAAAGCATCACCAAGGTCATCCAATCCCTCATCTCTATCATTGTGATCCGAAGCAGCCGTACTACTTCCCCCCTTTTTCCTCCCAAAAATCGAGTCTTTGCCTCCTAAGCTGAATTTACTCGAACTACCTTTACGGAGGAGCTTTGTAAAGGATGATTCTCCTTTCGCGCTTCCTGCAATATCAGATGCAGTATTACTTTTGGTCCTATCCAAGCTATCAATTGATTCGGCCACGCTATTTTGGGTGTGGATAGATGGCGAGTCTCGGGACTTTCTCGATTCAGATGGAGAAGAAGTAATGGGATGAGGGGTATCATAGGTAGGGTCAAAAGATTCGGTATTCTGATCTGGAGCCTTGCCTTTACCTTTACTCCTCAGAAGACGGGAAAAGACAGGCTCACTCGTTTGAGGGAGTTCAAATTTTGGCGCATTAGGGTTGAGCTTAGGTAGAACTGAGTTGTGCGATGAAGGAGGCCGAGTGCCAATAGCCCCCAGGTTTGGAGGTGGACTTGAGTGGATGTTATCTTCATAGAAATATTCGTCTGAACCGCTCAAAATCTCAGAAGCTAGTGCACTAGAGGAACCATGTTGGAAACTAGGCCTTCTCGATGGATTGCTGGACCAAGTTGGCGGAGCCGACACAGACCAATCGGTAACAAGTGGGCTTTTGTTTACAGTCCCATCGGCTCCTGGACCCCATCCGAATGGTGCACTATCCGTTGATGGACGTGGCAGATCAGAAGAGGCAATGGACGTCGGACGAGGGCTACTAGGGTCACGAGCGGAACGTAGATGGTTTGTATCTTCATTTCTAAAGCCAAACATACTAAACCCAAGTTGTCTCCGACCATTTGGACGAGCGGGAGCAGGTGCATTACCCTCGGAGGAGTCACCACCAACTGTAGCGCTGCGTTGAAAGACATTCCCCCAGCCGGATGAGAAGCTTATACGACGAGCCCTATTGGGAGTCTCCGGTTCATCAGTGGAACGTGGAAATGAATGACTTTGGCCTTTCAAACTACCAAGAGGGAGTCCATCTTGAGGGGCCTTCTCAGACTTTCGAAGAGAAGTAAACATGCTGCCAAAATTCCTATGAGATGTTGATTGGCCGGCTCGTGCTGGTGATCCAATTACTCCAAACTTTGATGAGGGTGAACCTAGCGAAGTGCGCTCAGTCTCGAGAGCATAATCATGGTGTGTGACGCCATATTTTGCGAGATTTTGTGATGATGCGTGGGGACTAGACATTAGACTAGCAGAGCGACTAGACCCTGGAGATTGTGCATCGTTATGCCGCTGTGGTGGACTATATGAATGATGCAACTCTGACGTATATTCAGGGCCTTCCTCATCAGCACCTTGAAGCTCATCGTCGTTAAAGAGCGTAGAAGGTAATAACATGGTTGCTGTCGGACTGAGCGGTGCCCCGGCAGTGAGCGATTGGATATCAGCCTCGCTCATCCCTCCCGAGTGACCCGAAGCCGAAACCATCGTAGTATCATTACTCATAGCTAGATTCAAATATGGAGCGGCCGCATAAGCGGGTGAGCTCATTATGTTGAAGTTGTTGAATATACCAGTACTTGAATATTGGGACTCGGCCATTGCATAGCCAGAAGTAGATGACACCGTATTCGTGCGACTCTTGCGGGTGCGTTGTCTTCGAGATTTGGCTCTACCGTGTTGTCCATTCGGGTCGAAATCAACTCCCGATGAATTTGCGTGATTCATGAGATCGTTTGGATTGCTTGGTAACCGGGCATAAAGCGCTGTGAAATTGGCCTGTGCAGCTTGTAGTTCATTCTCAAGTCGCTCCAGCCGTTGACTGTAGTCTTGCGCAATAGCGTGTTGCGTTCTGCTTTCTGCCTCCCACTGAGCATCATTTCTCCTTTCTAAAGCCTCCCACTCACGGGCTTGATCGTCATCCAGCCCAATTCCAAGGCCCTCCCTTTCCTCTTCTAGGCTCTTGACCAACAACCCTTTCTCCGCGACTTCACGCGTAAATTTTGTGATCAAATCTTGAACGTTTCGAATATTCTCACGAAGCTCCTCACATTTCGCCTCTGTCGACGTGCGTATCTCCTCTGCCTCGCGACTCCAGGACTCCATCTCAGCGCCCATCGACTTTATTTCCTTCTTCCAGCGTGCTTGTTCATCTTGCATTTTCTTCCTCTCTACTTGTTTGGCCTGTAAACTTTTTTGTAACGCCGTCTTCCGCGATTGTGCTTGTCGATTTTTGACCTCCAGGTTCTTGACCTCTTTTCTCAACGTCTCGCTCGCTTCCTCCTTGTCCTTGACCATTTCTGTCTTTTTATCTCTATCTTCAGATAGAAGAAGGATCTGATTTTTAATCTCCTCAGATTCCTTCAAACCTTGCGCAATCACATCTTCGAGCTCCTTCTGGATCCTATCTTGTTGTTCCTGCAACTCTTGTATCGTCTCGTGACTTTCATCCAAAGGTTGAGCATTCGAGGCGGACCAGTTCTCGGCGGTAGCGGTAGCTGTTGATTGTGAGTGCTTTCTACCTACGGTATTTCTTCGCTGGCTAGGATGGGAAACGCTCGATTCTCGTACGACAACCTGCACGGTAGCTGCAGGAGGATTGGTGCCGTCGGCTGCCACTCCGTGGGCTCGAACCGTGGGTAAACTTTCTCCGCCAGCATCATGTTGGTCTTCATTCGACAGATCGGCTTCATTCCTGATTACCCCATGGCGTGGGAGTCCATCTCGACCCAAAGTTCTCAACCGTATAACTCTACTCCCGGCCTGAAAATTTTGCGTGCCAACCGCAATCACTCTCACATTGTAAAAATTACCTGGCTTGAGCCCTTCGATAATGACCGTTTCTCCTTGGGTAGATTCGCCAACTAATGGTAGAATATTAGCGCGACTGGGGTACTCAAGGTACGATGCGTTTTAGAGAACTCACCATCGACGCCATTCACTTGGATAATATACCGCACCACACCTTTGTTCGGTGGCGACGATGACCAATGTAAAGTCAAGGCATCTGGTTTAATGCAGGCGAGAGAAACCTCTGGCGGGTCGGGGACTTCGACACCCAAAATGCTAATAAGTCGTGGTAGAGGGGTCCAAAGAACCTCCCATGCCCTCCTCAGCAGCCTTTAGTGCAATAGGTTAGCAAGGCTTATTTTTGCCGTTCGATTGAATGATGTGCAACGAACCAGAATAGGGCCGTACAAGTCACTATCGACTGAATTAAAAACATGTATTCGTGGAGCACTCTTGCATGACTAAATACCCAGTCAATCAAGCTGGTGTAGTAGTCGACAGCGTTCATACAGAATCGAATCCGAACAGATCTCAAAACACTCAGAAAAGAGGTTGTTGAGAACTACTGACGGCGGGGGAAAAGAGAAGGTCAAGAAATGGTGGCAAGGGGAAAGGTGGTGGTGGAAGTTGCAAGAGAAAGAGAGGATTTGAATAAATATGTGTGGTACAATTTCGCGATGGCACTCACACCATTCACCTACAAGCTGCTTTCTTTGGGCTTTTTTTACC